CAACCGTTGGTTCGTCAGTAAATCTTAAAGCATTATATCACGTAATATTTGAAGACATTAGAAACTGACGGATTAGGAATCCAACATATGGATATTCCATAATTGAGTTTCTAAGTTTGTAAAACCAAACATTGACAGCCACTTGAATTTGTGATTGGCGAAGATCCGACTATTGGATCGCGATGAAATTTTAATATGTCGTTCTATGAGCATAATAAGAACCTTAGGAAGTTATGGATCCAAAATCCGATGGGTGGATGTTCCCGATCGAATTACGTAGGGTTGTGGACCTCACCGTTGACTGAGAGTTGACTTTTGGTCAACATGTTTCGAATCGTTTTAAATATTAAAATTAGTATTATTAAAGACTCAGTGAGGCTTTGCGGGCCTATCTCGGTGAAGGGACTTCAATATAGGTGACATAGTTGTTATCCTGATTTTCGTATTTAATATCCTTTGTGAATATCATCTTGATTTATACATGTGATTTCTATTGAAATGTGATTCGATTTGTGGATTGGAAATATTTGTGAAATGTGATTTGACGTGCATATTTGAAATGTGGTTTGATTTGCATGATTGGTATGATGTGATGAAGTGTGAGGGCTAGTAATGGACCGTTAACCCATTGCCATGGGGTTTGTTACTTCGAAGCTTGTTTCATATCCCATTTCATTGTTTCATTTCTCGCTTCATTGATCCGTTCTAAATTTAGTACTTGTGCTTTGTTTTATTTCATTGACCCTTTGTAAATTGAGTAACTTGATTCATGTCTTGTTTCTTCGAGCTATTGATATGTTCCTTAGACTTCCGCTCGGTTACGTTGAGTGATCCAGAACTGGGTTCCACTGGAGTTCCGTTGAGTGGTCTCGTTCCCTGCTTCGTCTGGATTCCATTGAGTGGTCTAGAATCCCTCATGCTCCGCGATTCTGTTGAGTGGTCCGGAATCATATCCTGCCTTGGATTTCATTGAGTGGTCCGGAATCGTATCCACTCGGATTTCGTTGAGAGGTCCGGAATCCCTTCTACTTCGCGATTCAGTTGAGCGGTCTGGAATAGTATCCTGGTTTTGGATTTCGTTGAGTGGTCCGGAATCCCGTTTGGTATTTTGGTTCTATTGAGTGGTCTGTAACCCGATGTTGTTGGATTTCGTTGAGTGGTCCAAAATCCCACTCTTCAGAGATGTAGACTTCGGCCGAACTGTGTCGCTCTAACCCTGCACTTGATGCATTGTGTGTGTTATTGATTGATGTGATTATGGAATGGTGTTGGAAAGCATATGTGTGTGAATGGCATACTTATGTGCATGGCAAGATTATAAGTGTTGTTTGGCTTATGGTTGATGTGTAGTGTGGTACTCTATGTTTTCGGCTAGAAGTATTTTACAAAAGTTTAGAGTTTAATAAATGGTGAACTACGAATGGCTTGATCCCTTTTTAGGGTACGTAGGCAGTCTAACGAGGAGGTTAAATGGAGCCATAAAGTATACCGAAATTTCTACGCAATTCGAATTTTGAGTTGTGCTTTGTACATATTCCGGAGACAGGGTATGTTAAATATACGGATACTTGATGACGTCACGTGTCGATCCTGAATTTATATCGGGATCGGGGCATGACAATCTAATAGTCTTTAATAGAAGTTAGTTAATCAGTGATTTGATGCCCGTCAAACTCAAGATCTTTCGGGCGTTAGACGCCACGCAAAACCAACAACAATTTAGCTACAAGCCAGACAAATTAAAGTACTAACAAAAAACAGGATCGGACACAGAACAACGATATCATGTTGGAAAACATTGTAATGTATGTGGATGACGAAATGACAATCCTAGTTGTCATATGATTTTGTTATGCTGTCTGGAATCTAGTGAGTCATGCTCGTTGAGTTCCACCGAGTGATTCAAAAAATGTAAGATAAGGGTTGGTCCGCTATACCACGTAAGTAGCTTTCACCACGTGTTTCTGGGTCTTTTCTTTAAACACGTCTCACAATTATTGGCACTGTACCGGTGTGATTAGGGTCGTTTTCAAAGAAACCTAATTTGGAGTTAATTCTCAATAGAAAGTAGTTTAATTTTTGCTCCACCACATTTCTGGCAAATTTACTCAAATCTTGCACCATCGCGTTGAATGCTTTTTGGCTCAACTCAAAGCTAACCTTTATAGTTGGTAACCTTGATATTGCATGTATTCTCCACCGTACCCAAACGCTTTGTCTGCTTGACTGGTTAAAGATGCAACAACTTGTTCCTAGAGTCAACATTTTATTAAAAGTTTCCCAAATAAGTTATTTTTAGTTTATTTTAATAAAACGATATGATTTATGCTAAGGAGTGGAGGGATTTTTCGGCTAATTCACACAATGATCAAGTCATAATAAATTGGTATGGAATTCGTCATCTATAAGAGTTGAACTTAAGAATTCTCACTTACAGATGAATAGAAATATCACTATACTGTAATACTAATCAACATATAATTTAGGGTTAATCTCAGTTTACTACCCTGAAATTTCTTGGTTTTCAACATTTAATACTTGAAGTTTTTTTCGTCCCAATTTGGTACCTAAAGTCATAATTCTTGGACATTTTCATAAATTCATTAAATTTTCCGTCAGAATCTCTATTAATCCTATAATTTATTTAAAAAATTTATAAACTGAAACACACAAAACTGACTACAGTGAGTTTAATCTCTAATAGAAATTAACCATATCATTGCTCATACACTATCTAGTAGTCTTTAATAAAGGTTAGTTAATCAATGATTTGATGCCCGTCAAACTCAAGATCTTTCGGGCATTAGCCGCCATGCAAAACCAAGAAGTTATTAGAAGACCGTTTCTAATGGAGTTTGACTCTACTATGTATTAGACAATGTGTATTGTTACCTCACATTTGACTTCCAATTATGACAACTTTGCACTACACACATATGATACATGTACATCTGTATCACCTTGAAGCCTTTCCACAATGCTTGAAAAAATCCAATTACTATGTTGTACTAGTGGCGGAACTAGGAAAAATATTTCGGGGGTCACATGTAAAAGTTTACAAACATTTTTTAGATATATAATAACCTTAAAATTAAATCATAGTTTTATCATTCATAACTTATAGAACAAATAACAATACAAGTTACAATAGTCCCCGACACGATTTCATATTTAGAAAACGTTGCATTATAACTTCATTGTCAATGGAAGAAAAAACATTGCTCTCAATGTAAACCATCATACTATCACTCAACCATTGATCTCCCATTCGGTTACGCAATGGAACCTTCACAATATTCATAGCAAAAAAAAACTCTCTCCATTGAAGCAGTAGCAACTGGTAGAACCAAAGCCAATGTAATTAGCAAATACACATTATTATATACTCTAATCCTCCCCGTCTCCACCATTTTTTTTTTTTTTTGCAAGGCTACCAATTCCTTTCAATTGAGAAAATTCACTACTTTAACGCATATCAAGAATATAATGCCCAAGTTGATCTTCAAGTGCTAAGAGTTGACAAGTAGTAAATTCATTCGGATAAAATGAGCAAAACAAATTAGCTTTTGTTCATCAAAAGCCGATAATGAATCATTCGAGCTCAAACTTGCTAAACAAAGAAGCAACTCTATATTTACCTCATCAAGCGACTATTTAATTCCACAAGTTGCTTATCAACGATAGCAACAAAGAGCTCCACATGATAATGATGGAAGTTTGTGATTCTTTGAGCTCTACGCCGTGATCTCACTCGAGTAACATATCCATCATCCATGTGTTTATTTTTTTTGCTCTTGGTGTTTATATTTTTTATTAAACTAAGGGTCCAAAACTAGGTCGTTTTGACTAAGTAATATTTATTAAAAAAAAATAAGAAGAGCCACTCTTACAGTTGGAGGGCATATATGAAGCCAACTCCAATCTTTAAGGGGGCACCACCCAAGTTATCCATGAACATTCACCGAAGTTTGAATGGTCAACACTCAAGTTATCCCTGGACATTGACTGAAGTTCGGGAGGTCAGCTGACCCCTATGCCCTTCAATGCATCCGCCTTTGCATTGTACGACAGTATCTAAGAGGATAAACTTAGCACGGTTAATTCGATGCATCCAATCATGCAGATGAATTTCCGACAAGAATGTAATCGTTAAGAAATTTGTATGCCTTGAGAAACAAGTAACAGAATCACATCCTTGACGAAATTCATGCAGGGAAGAAAGAAATGCAGGCACGAAGAGATGCAACAAATCTTTCTTCCAGGTTCAGTGACTTCACCGTCAATTTAAACCCTTCAAAAGGTGGCTAAGGGAGGCTTGAGTGACTCTATGAGTCTTTCCAACCCTGAGAAGTCAACTGTCGTGATGAAGTCACTAGATGGCAAGGTTCTAATTAAATCTATTATATTTGTGTAAATAAGTGTCTATTTATACTTAAAATATATATGATTTCATCATAAACTACAAAATGGAATGACATATATATTATAAGTTATTTGAACATAATGAAAACATGGAAAACAAGTATATAATGTGTGTTCCTTTAAGTATTCAACAAGTCTTTTACAATTTATTGAAAAAATAAAATGTAAAATAAAAGATATCTATTTTCTGTCTAAGTGAATCGCAACCTAGGCGGGTCTTGGCGGGCTAGGTGAGTGTTTAGGCGGTTTAGGCGGGCGCCTCAATAAGTCTATGCCCTCGTTCTTAATTTTCAAACGCTTAGGCATTAATCAGGACAGTGACCAACCGCCTAGCGCCTAAGTAGGACCTAACGACGCTAGACGAGAATTTTTAAAACAATGCTAGATGGTCCTTTATAAATAATAATAAATAAATAAATAAAAAGCTTGAACTTCATGGGCTTTTAACGGGAACTGGCTCATGCCGAATCAGCCCCAAATTATATCGGTTTTTCCTCGGGTTGGTTTCGGGTCGTGAGGACACCCGAGACGGAAAATCCAGGAGGGGTATAAGTGTCATTTCACTATGAACCGCCATTATTCTCCTATAAAAGCTGATACTTTCTTCCAGTGTCAGCTGTAAATCAACAATAACCGTTTTCAAGCAACCACCTTTCTTCTTCTAACTGCCATGGATTCCGCTTCGCGCTCAATTCTCCGAAACTTTTCTTCTACGGCCGTCATTTTCCCGCCAAGTAACAACACCACTGCCCGCTTCTTCGATCTACCGAAGACCAACCACAACCCCAACTTGGTCCCTCTATTTTCCTCCACTTTCCCAAGAAACCCAAATTTTCCCGGAAAATGTCTGCACTTCGATCGGTTCTCCGCTTTCAGCTCTCTCTGCGGCGTTCAGGATCAGAACCCATCTCAGGAGCTCGCTGTTCTTCTCGAAGTCGATGGGTAGGACGATTTCTTTCCCCTGCTTACTCCATGCATTTCTACTAATTTATGTTTTTTTTTTTTCACATTTTCTTGCTTCTTTGACATCTTTTTCGTGTTTTAGTAGTTTCTTTGAAGCTATTTGGTGCTGCATTGTTCGAATTGGACATGGGTTTTCACTGAGACCTTTTTCTTGATGATTCCCTTTGTTTCTTTCAGGGTTCTTATGGATGCTTACCGGATGGGGAACCGCCAAAGCTTCAATGCAGGTGTGAAAATGCAGTAATTTAATGCTAATGTATTAAGTTTTCTTGATTAACTTGCGTTTTATGTGTTAATTTCACTCTGTTATCTTGTGATATATTGGCAGCATTTAAGAAGCTCGGACAGCGCTGTACAAATTGGACAGAGCCTGTTTACTTGGACCTCCTAAGGTAGGAAATTAAAATTATGAGTAAAGATTCATGAATTTAGATTATTTATTTGGTTTATTGTTCGTTAAGTTTTTTATTTGGTTTCTTGTTCTTTAAGTTATTTCGCAGGCATGAAATCATGATTCATGACTTATGCTTCAATCTAGCATGAGTCAATTGAATTACATTTCCGAGTGTGTATCCGGGTCATAAGAGTTTTTCGATATGGATAGTCACAAGATTCTGACCCAGATTACTTGTTCCCTTTACAGTCATGCTTTGCCTTATTTTCCAAAGGTTCTTAAATGCAGTCTATGTTCATCTTGCAGGGAGAGTGGTGGTGATGAGGAAAAGATGGTGAATTTGTATTTTAATCGGGTGTGTTACTATTTTGTTGTCCTTGAAACGTATGAATAGCTTGTAGTGGCTCTTCGAAACTTTCCTTTGTTATGTATCTTTTTCTTCTGAATCTACGATAATCTGTCTTGCAGATTGGTTGGCCTAGTTCATTGCCGACAAGTGAGGGGTCATTTGTGAAAAATGTCCTGAAAAAGAAGGTACAGTCTTATTCTAGACTTACGTCATTTGCACAAAACTTACATTATTAGTTTTGCTGGTTTGTTAGGATTGTGATCAATGATTGTTTCAAAGCTTAATGTCCAGCATTGCATCGGAAAGTAGAATATACACTAAAGGAAATGTCAGTCTCTGAATCAATATATTTTGATCATTCGGTTATGTGTTACTGAGGAATAAAAATAAGGAAGAATTTATAATTCCGGGGCTAATGAGGAATCTACTTCCGGTTAATCACTACATTTGGAGAACTGTGGGTAAATTTTTCCAGGGTAGGTGAGGAGGGCTGATTTAAAACCAACAGAAGCTTTTAAATTTTTCGCTTGAAGCTACCTATGAAAATATATCATGTTTACACAAAAGAAATAGCTACTTATCTGAGATAATTGCAAACTCATTTGACTTGTTACTTGGATAGCGTAGCATGTTATATCTTACAATACAAGGTAAAAGGTTAAACACATTAATGAATGAGAGAGGCATTAATAATATCCTTTTATATTCCACCTGTATCTAAACATGTAATTAACTCACGCTGAGCTTCAAATTTACTTGGATGATTAGTCTTTTAGCTCTCCCATATGTAGAATGAAAGAAGCTAATATTAATTTGTTTTTGACAGAAAATTGCAATGGATGAGTTTCTGATGTCAGAAAGTTTGACTCTACGACCTGGAGTTGAAGAGTGAGTTTCTGATCTGACTACAGAAAATTTACTTGGATGATTACACAATCTTTTAGCTCTCAAATATACCGAGTCTAAATTTCTGCTTGATATTTTTACCTTCTTCAAATATGAATAGCTTAAGACCAAAACCATGTGCAGAACCTCTTTATCAGTGCTCATTTAGACATTTTTGGCTTCAGCTATATTTTCGGAATTTCAGAAATTTGGAAAAGCTTAAACCAGTAGATAGAACTTGGTAAGAATAGTTTTCAGCTTGACCAACATTTGGAAATTCAGCTGAAGTGTTGCCAGAAAAATGATGTCAAATGGAATTTAGCTTGCATTTATGTTATGTCAAATATACCAGACTTTTTACAGAAGTTTTGGCTTGGACTGGGCCTTCGAGTTGATAGTCTTGATAATATTCACAAGTCTATTGGTTGATAGTCTAGATGAACTGATGATCCTAAATCTGTAGGAAGCTAGAAGTGATGAACCCAATGCGTTGAAGAGTGAGTTTCTGATCTGTAGGAAGCTAGAAGTGCTGAAACCATGGACAAACAAAAACAACCGGACTAGAATTAATCAGTTGACGTTTAGTGGGATTTCATATGCATGTCAGTGGCATGTCTAGTTGCACGGTTAGACTCATTTTCTCCTTTCCATTTGCAGGTTTATTGATGATGCATACAAGGAAGGAGTACCTGTTGTCGTACTGACAACCTATAGTAAGAGTGGGAATCAAATTGCCAGGTAATGACATACATTTTTATTTTGTTAAGTTTCCAGGCGGTTACCAACATGCTCTGGGTTTTTTAGCTTGGCGAGGAAATGATTAGTTTTTTATTATGATTTGGCTTCCTGTTTCTGAATGGGTTGAATACTTTCTACTGCTTCATAAAATACTGTGGTGCATTGTTCTATTCTGATTAAAAAAATCTCATTTCTGGTACCCCATCAATGGTAGAGGACTAAGCTAATATCTATTTCTTTTTGTAAATGTCAGATCAATTGTTGAAAAGCTTGGCGAGGAAAGAGTTTCGAAGCTAAAGATTGTCGGAGATAAGGAGGTGTTACAGAGTTTGTTTAACCAACTGGTAAATGATATAGCATTATCTTCTGGTATGGATGAGCAGCTATCTAAGGAGGCAATAAAAGCAGGTAGACTCTTCATCTTCGTTAATTAGTCATGTATATGTTTTGTGATATACATTTTTCCAGTGCAGAAGGTTGGGTACTAAAGGGCTCTGTTATTGATTTCTGGGCCAGTTTCTGCTGAGAAAGAAAGGATTTTTAAGGAGCTTGCATTATTGCTAAAGCTGATTTTAGATATTGATACTCGCCCGCCTGAAAGGTTAGCATACTTCATTTCGTTTTATTGTTTGTTATTGTTAATTCAGCACCTTCAGAATTGGTTTGTGTCTAGCTGTTATTTTTGTTTTATGGGTTTTCTGATGTTCAGGTTTTAAGAGAGACGTGTGATTTTGTCACGTTTATGCATGATTCTGCTTATATTAAACTATGAAGAGATTATATACCAATTTGTCCCGTTTGTGCGGTTATGCATGTATGATAAAGTACTCAACTTAAAGAGCAATTTCATCTATCTAGTATTTAATCCTTTACTGTTATGGTTGCCAAATGCTTGTGCAAGTTCCTCTCCTTCTTTCTCATACTCTTATGACTGAGTAGAGTAATATATTGTCTAACTGACTTTCTTGTTCACTTTGGCGTGTTAATTGTTTTCTGCCAGCTTAGAGAAGATCATTCTTGCATTGCAAGCCGGGGCAGAAGTTGCTGGACTACCTGTATGCAATTGTGTTCTTATTGCAGGAAGCCAGTCTGGTGTGGCTGGAGCTAAGCGAGTGGGCATGCCATGTGTTGTTTTAAGAAGCAGGTGAAGGCTTTTTTCAATCGCTTAGAACAAACTCCTGCCAGGTTACAAGTTCTTTAAATCCTTGTTACTGAATCGAGTTTTTTCGTATATTCCTGTAGTTTGACGGCTAGAGATGAGTTCCCTTGCGCAAATGCGATAATGGATGGGTTTGGAGGAGCAGAGCTGACCATCCCTAAACTGCGCAACAAGGGACGCTCATGAAGTCAAATCATGTTCCTAAACTGTGCAACAAGGGACGGTCATGAAATCAAATCATGTTCCTCTTTTTGCCAGACTATTAACAGAGCTGTAAATTTTTCTTTCCATTTGTTGATACGTCGGAAGATTCATCTCCCGTAGAGGGATCTTACAAAGTTACAACAGAATTAGAGCCGGGATCTTACAAAGTTACAACAGAATTAGAGCCGTTAATCTCGATACTCTATAATTTCTTCAGCTTGGAGCTGTTTTAGTTGCCTTGTAATGTTTTTTAAGCCACAGTTTGCAATATAAAATGTAAATCGTCTCAAGTAGCTTTCACAACAGTTTGCAATATAAAATGTAAAATATAAAATGTAAAATGTAAATCTCGATACTCTATATAGAAATGTTGTGTAGTGTGCAGATTTTACAATCTAATTCCTCGAAACATAACTACCCTATAATTTGTAAAACCGGGCATGCAGCGAGCCCCTTTTATTTTATTTCAACAACTACAAACAAGAAAGAAAATCGAAAAGAAAGAAAACTATCGCACAAGAGAGTAGCGACTCTAAATCTGATGCAAGGGGTACAAACAACAGAGATCATACATCATCAAGATTCCACTTCCTCAACGTTTGCCGTTCGCCTTTGTCTTAAAGGAGGGCTTGAGTATTCCATGCCGCTATCTGATGTCGAGATATTGGATGACACTGAGGACTCCGGGAATGAGCTTGTTACTGGATTTGGCTGAGGTGTTTCATTTCTATAACTCTGAGAAGCAAGAGAAACTGGTGGCCCTTGTGCTTCTGGCGTTTGATTCCCCTGAGCTTCTTCTGCAAGTTTTCTTAGAAGATTCATGATAGTTGGAAGAAACCTCGATGAAATAGATAGTATCCCTGACAGCTGGTAACACCAAACAACGGAAACTAAAATTAGGAACTGCTTTAATTACGGAAATTCCAATTTGATGAGAGACTGTAACCAAAAAGATAACTCTACCAAGTACCAAGTGAGAAAAAAAAAGAAAAAAACAAAGTTTTATACTTACAGCGCCATGTTGGAACTGTCCCGAAATGTCCATCTGTACCCATAAGGCCTTTGAAAGTAAAAATACAATAAATAGAACCAAGAGGTAGAGAGGGTTCCTGTTTCATTTGAAGAAAAAAGGCACAATGATTATTAACAGATGTGCAAGACATTAGGGTCTGGACACTTGACAAATGTGCAAAACCTACAACTCGGAAAAGGAAAACCAAAAAAGAACAAAAGTAATTACTTTAAAAGCATCATAAATTCGTTAAAACCAAGAACGATCATCGCCATAATAGCCCATGGAGGAGGTAACCAGTTGTTACTCCGCTTGTGAGCCTCCTGAAAGTACAAAAGCAAAAAGCATCAGGATCGAGCTGCTAAGCAGAAAGATGGGGAGCTCGTTACAAAATAATATTAGGATGCTAGGATTTTTCTTTGTAGAAAAACAAGAACACTAGATAATAAGTTGGTCCTATCTGACTATGCCGTTTCCAAGTCAAGAATCAGCGCAATTTTCAAATCAAGTGTTTCCATACGTTTTGTTTCACTATGAAGCTAAATCCAATTTACACAAGAACTCCAGCCCAAAATGTCATCCAAGGACAGTGCATGCATCCTATTTCCAAGTTCCTACTACTAGTTGCTCATTACTTTTGCAGGAACATGTTCGAATATTCATATTTTCATAATTCAAATCTTTACAGAACATTTCTTGAAAGACAAAATCCATTTATTCTTGATAACACTGATTAAACAATATAAAAACAAATTAGACCAATGAAGTTAAACTTAAGATATGAGAAACTATAAAATATACCTGTGCCGAAATAGCTTGAGTGACGCTATATTCAGTCTCTGCCTTGAACTGCCTCCACATTGACTTGCACTGTACTGGGGTAATTAAGGTATCCTTTGAAGAAACCTAGTTGAGAGTTAACCTTTAATAAGAAAGGAGTTTCATCATAGAAATTTTTTACATATAAACCAAAACCCATTAAATTAATGGTACCTCTTCCCAAGAGCTTGAGGCAAGAGGATCGGTAGAAGGTCCTAGCTTCCTATTTTGTGAAGATGAAACAGTAACAGTCCCGTCCACCAGAGAAGAAACAAGAACATTTTCAATATTATCTGGCTTCTCATCCAAGCGTATAGCAGCCATGGTGGATAAAAGCTTCAGAGACTACAAGAAAGAGATAATTAAAGAATTAAAACATCACTTTAAGTCAGAAAGATAGATAACATGTACTTCCACAAAAATCCCCAATGATTACCGCAGTTCGTGCATCCTTGGTAATACTTCTAATGTCGTCTTTCCCAGTCCAAACCCTTGGCATTGAATCACTGTCATAATTGAAGACCGTGCCAAACCTGAGAAATGACAACAGAAGTGATCAGCAACCAAAATGACAACGTAAAAACAGAAGAGATGATTTTTTAACAAGTTCCTACCGATCCTTCATGTGGATCATAATTTTCCCAGCCTCTTCTCTTGCTCTTGTCTCCACCACATTTCTCGCATAATCCTTCAAATGTTGCTTCATTTTGACAACCGTTTCGTTGTCCAACTCAAAATTGGCAACTGCAGTTGAGAACTCCGATACTGCAACTTCGGTCTCACAATTAAGAAGTTTCCGTATCGAAGCCCAGGTGTCTTTTGCACCAGTTTCGAGTAGAGCCTCTACAGGACCACTTAAAGACGAAGAAAGTTTTTTCTGAAAAATAAAGGGTATTTGCATTAAGAAATTTGAATAACAACAGATTATGAGCCTAACGTTATAAGTACACTCTTAGAATAACCAAGACTTTGATACATTATCAGAGCACTACCTCATAGGTGGAATTCAATTCTGCCAGTTTTGCACTACGAACTGATGATGTATGTACATCTATATCACGTCGAAGCTTTTCCCGAACTTTTGAAGCATCCCAATTAGCTTGTTGTATGGCAGCATCTGAAAGGACAAACAAGTCAAAGTAATAAAAGAATATTTTGGTTGACAAACATGTTAATTAGCTAAACAAATTCTATTACCTGCACATCCTTTCTCAAACTCAAGCATAGAAGACTGAGCACAAGTACGAACAGATGAAGCAAATCCTTCTCCTTTGTTCAGCGATTGCTCCAGCCTCACTTGAAAATCTTCAAGCACTTTAGAACGTAGGTGTCCAAGCATAGCCGAGTACGCAGGGTAAACAAACTGAAAAATTCAGAGGAAAGCAATGGAGTCATGCTTCGGTAACGATGTTTAGCTGTTGATTTAAGCATAACTCTTTGATAGGGATACTTGAAGGAGATAGTTTATGTTGCCAATCCACTTCATTATCACGGCTTCATTCTAAGATTGAGGCCAACAGTAACGTGGTAGATGAAACTGACAACCAAACTAAAACCACTACTAATCACGACTTCCCTATGGTGCAAAATTGTCTAAGAAACTGAAAACATAACCAAAGCCTCTGTTAAAATAGAGAGACAAAGAGAGTAGCCATACATCCAATACTTTTGACTCCAAAAATTGTCGTTTTGAGTTCCTTACACCTTCGTCAAAGTAGATGGCCTCCATGTCATATCTACGATGCATAAGTGAGATCAAGACATACAAAATAAAGTCAGAACTAGAAACAGTACATGCCCATAAAACACTAACAATAAAACTTCCAGCGAATAGAAACACACACAACAGGTAAGAATACATATAAACATTTAGTTTTAGTGGCAAAACTAGAACCCCAAAAAAAATGGTGGACAGTGTAACATGTGAAACTTACTCAGAAAGATACGTGGCTAGAATGGAACTGAGCCTTTTACCAAAGCCTTGTACCGGACCAGTTTCTACAGCTTCTTCCAGTGCTAACCAACGCTAAATCATGTTCACCCAAGGAATGACCAGTAAAACTTTCTTGAATATGCTAGAAGTATACTCATCTCAAAAATGGGGATAAATGACCACATACCTCATCATGGACCAACTGTTTGAATTTCTGGTTGGCTATCTCTTCACACCGAACCGTAGCAACCATAACCTAATTAAATTATTTACAGTATGTATATATATTATATGCACATGAGAAGTGAAGACCACAAATTATCAATGGGAAGAAGATAAACTAACAAACCTTGTGAGCGGGAAGATCCAGGTCCTTGTTCTGTTTGATTACTTTCCAAATCTGTTGTGCACTAAAGGAAAATCCTGACGCGGGGACAACACCACGTCTATCACCAGCAAGCCCTCCTGGAGAAATAGAATGGAAAAAGAGCTGCCTCAGTTGAGCAACCTGCATGATACAAGCCATACCCGTAAGTGCCACCGCAAACCTTTATAATGATAGAAATTAATTACTTAGGAATATAGGAAATGTTTTTTTAATATGAACTACATCATACAATTATGTACATATACATATACAACTCTTCAGTGGATGGTACAACGCACCCCAGGAACCAAAATTATAAAATAGAAATGTGATGACCAATAGGATTTTTGGACACGATAATCGCTTCTGATAGTAAAGGGGTTACCTCCTCGTTAAACTTCTCCTCCTTCTCTTCATAACTGGACAAAGCAACTACTTCTACCTTCATATTAAAAAAATGAAGTATCAGAGACAACAGGCTTTGACTAATAAGAACATATACAAAGCAAACATGACCAGAGAGTAGAGAAGAATATAAGAGATCTCACAGTAAAAAATTCACTCAAGGGGGTACTTTTATGGGCTTGGGGCTTCGGTACTCCATCCCATATCTGCAGAATTTACAATACTTAGAGATGTATGGGAAAAGGAATAAAGTATAAAAGCAACATAGATCTGAAGAAAAAATTACCTTCTGTATATCTTCCCTTAGCACAGGTTCAGATATTCAAAAGGGGTCTAAACAAGCAGCCACAAACAAGAAAGTATTAATATGCAACAAGAAAATCATTTCACGAAGACAACTTAATTAGACAGATCCTGTTAATATGCACACGGAGTACGCTCATACCTTTGTTTTATCACGTATAACAAAAAGTAACTTCGTTTTACGGGGGCTGAATAGGCGCATCATGACCTATAGACATTCAGAAACCAGAACTTCATTAACTTTGGCAGAGAATGGTGAGTAGATGGTAGATGTAAACATGGTTCTAGAGTACCTGAAAAACTGTTTTCAGTAAAGGTTTATTAGCAGCTTGCTCCCGACCAATATCATGACACCACCTGTATACAAAATCCAATCTCCAATTGATATCTAGAAGAAATTTCAAATTACCGGTAAAGCTTACGTATATTCTACGAATTAAAATTAGCCTACGTATATTCTGTAAATTAAAATGTCAGTTAACATTAGCACTCTGAACTAAAAGTTCATAACGTGAATAACCCCTGTTTTTGTGAAAGGTAAAGCCCTAGTTGAACAATCAATGAGATGGTATCAGAAGCTTCTTTCCTCAGTCATTGATAAACCAAACTCACACCGGCTTTGCCTTGCTAAAAACCAACTGAACTAGATACCAATACATATGACAATCTTAAAACTGAACTAGACACCTCTACTAATTTGATATAACACTTATGGAAATAAGTTCAAATACAATCCACTAACAAATTGGATCAACCGCTACATATAGTCACCAACTATGCAAGTAAGGTAGACTATCAGCCATGTGATTCCAAGACAAACAAAAAAACACGAGCTTACATATTTATCAGCACAATGTCTGAAACTGCCAAAGCAAATAGGGCGCTTTGCTTCTCGAATGTAGTATCATCCTGAAAACAATAGAGTTACAGAGGAAGCTCGAACAGTTAACAAATCTGAGAACTTTAACGAACATCTTGCAGCTCTCTAACTATATCCTCCCCAGAAACACACAATAGAATTTAATGGAAATTCGATTACCTCGCCTCTCTCCCTCCCATCAGTCCCCTCCAAATCCATGGCAATCGTGCACGGCTCGATGCCAACACACTTGGCAATCCAAATACCCTTTGTTGTTTGGCTCCTAAAACAAATCCACAAAATCAGATAGTCCTCTCTACCAAAAAGCACTTATTCAAAAGCAAAATAAATAAATAAAAAACCATAAAATTAACTACACAATCAACTAAACCTCAGAAACTAACCTTCCACTGTAAGCATCCATCTCCCTGAACTTAGTCCGAAACAGATGATTCAACAAAGTGCTTTTCCCTGCAATCTCAAAATCCATAAGCACCCAAACCCAATTCACAAAAAACCTCAAACATCATCCAAATCGAATAAAGTTTCAAACTTTTACCGCTGCTCTGCGGACCCATGATTGCAACAACCGCATAAGAGAGTCCACACTCAGCAAGCTTGACTTCCTTCACGAACCTATCGAGCCCATCTGCGTTGAATTCTCCGTCCCCATAGATTAGTTGCCTGGCGCAGCAATCTTCCTCCATCTCAAAACCTTCCAAGTTTGCAACTTTCTAGCAGCCACCGATTCGTATATGTATCTATACTTGAAGAGGAAGACGACCCAAGATTCTATATGCTTCCCTCAACCTCAAAGCTTCTGAATTAAGCATGAACTATAAGCTCTTCGCTGAAAGAGGAAAGAGAGCCAGAGAGTAGAAAGGAACACAGAAAGGGCTCAATTTTTGTGGAGCGTCGAGATCTATTTCTTCTTCTTCCTTTTTTTTTTTTACTGGATTCAAGAAATAGTCCATGTGTCGTTGAATTCGTTTGGTTTTGGATTATCGTTGGTGTCCACCTAACACTTCTCTGTATAGTGAAAGCTCCGTGTTTATCGGTCCCTAGTAAAAAGTAAATTAATTACTTGTGTGAATTTTACGTAAACATCATTACTTCGAATTTGGGAGGTAAGGATTTCCTAAACTTCCGAAGGAATCGCAAAATTTAGATTGACTTGTAGTTCAGTTTGTGAAGAGAAGTCACGAAAATCTTTAATTTCTGTTTTGATTTCTCTTAAATAATATTGCTTAATTTAAAATATGAATTAAAAAAAAAAGTTTTGAAAATTAGGTTACAAAATTTTAGTATAACACTTACATATAAGGTTATTTTTCAATGTCGAATTTTGACGATATTGAATGGAACTACAAATTTTGAGGATAATAAGATCATCTCCAACCGAAAGATCTAGAGGGTCGAAAATAGTCCGAAAACCGTCTTCAAACGAGAGATAGGCCAGAGGGCTCGTATAATTTGAGAGGAACCCACGAAATCTGAAAGGGCCAAAGGGTTGTAGGGCTGGCTAGAAAAAACACCAATCATGTTGATTATAATAAATGTATTCATGTCGATTATAATCGACAGGAATGCTTAAACTAAAATTTGAATCCAACGACTAGCTAGCGCCAGTTACCGTTGGATTCATTTTTTATTTTTTTTTAGGTTTTTTGGGGTTTTTTTTTTTAATTCTTAAAAATTCTAATTTTTTTCCTATAAATACCTGAACCATTCATTCACCATTCCTTTAAAATTAATTTGTAGTTTTTAAATTTAATTCGGCGTTTTTAAATATAAGTTGTAGTTTTTAAATTTAAGTTGTGGTTGGATTTGAATTTTAAATTGTTGTAGTTTTTAAATTTAAATAATAAATTATGTTTGGCCCTTTGGCCCTCAGTTGGAGACGGTTTTTTGTGACAAGGCTAAAACGAGTCATCGGGCCCTTTGGCCCTCGGTTGGAGATGGAGGCAAATATGGTCATGTATTGTTCATTAAAATATTAATATCTTGGAAAACCAGATGATTAAAACGAGCCATCTGGCAAGCCATCGGTTGGAGATGGCCTAAGGGTCCGTCAGGTAAGATCATCTTCAACCGAAGGATCCAGAGGGCCAGAGGGTCGAAAATAGCCTGAAAACCGTTTCCAACTGAGGGCTAGGCCAGAGGGCTCATGGAATCTGAGAGGGCCTCACGAAATCTGAAAGGGCCAAAGGGTTGGAAGGATGGCTACATGCAGCCAACCAGCCCGGGGCTGGTCAGAAAAAACATTATTCATGTCAGTTATAACTGACAGGAATGCTTAAGCTAAAATTCAAATGCAACGGCTAGCTGACATCAGCTAGCCGTTGCATTTTATTTATTTATTTTTTTTACAGTTTTATTATTATTTTTTATTTACAAAATTTTTCCTATAACTTCTATTTTTCATATTTTTTTAATTCTATTTTTTTCTATAACTTTTATTTTACAAAATTTGTTTCATATTTTTTTATATTCCATTTTTTTTTCCTATAACTTCGATTTCACAAAATTTGTTTCATTTTATTTTAAATTCTATTTTCTTCTTATAACTTCTATTTCACAAAATTTGTTTCATATTTTTTTTAAATTATATTTTTTTCCTATAACTTCTTGAGTCATTGTACAAGCCCTATGGCCCTTTGGCCCTCGATTGAAGACGAAGGCAAATATGGCCATGTACTGTTCGTTAAAATTTTAATATCTTGGAGGGCCAGAAAGCTAAAATGAGTCATCTGACCAGCCCTCGATTGGAGATGGCCTAATGTTTTACAAATGATTTTAAAAAAAAATTGTTTTGTAAAACAAAAACGATCAATAGGATTTTACATTTTTGTGATTTGACAAAGTGTCTGGTAGTTTAGTCCGAGAATGATTTCAGGCAATGTTTTACAAATGATTTTTAAAAAAAAATGTTTTGTAAAACAAAAACGATCAATAGGATTTTCCATTTTTTGTGATTTGACAAAGTGTATGGTAGTTTAGTTCGAGAATGATTTCAGAAAATGGCGGTGGTTAACACACCCCAACCTAGATCGAGGCATGCTGGCCGTCACGTGAGGTGACGTAGACATGTGCACAATGCGGAAGTAATAGAGATATAATGAATTACGAATAAACAAAAACCAAGTCAACTAGAGTACTAGCTAAGATGGAGTGCTAGTGCGAGTTTAAGTGTAAAATACACAACCACAGCCTCAATATCCTAAGTGCAGTCAAGCAGGACAAGTACTAATTATTCAACACCCAAATGTGATCCTACATTAATGATATTCTGTCAGAATCTCCGCCGAAATCGTGATCCACCAAGCACTTCTACTTAAAACCTGGAGGGGCACAAAACAGAAAATGTGAGTGGGCAAAAACAAAGCTTTTCAAAATCATTTCATTTCTCAAAAGTTTTAACCCCTCACCGTAAAACCTGTATAATTTCCCAGAAAATAATAGTAATAATAAGTTGTATCAAAAATCACACTCAAGATAAAATCCATAGATGTATACGATGTCAAAGTATCTCAATGCAATGTTATAAATAATCCAGGCAAAATATATCACTGTCAAATATCGCATCAGCCAAATCCCTCTAACTCAATCTGTATGGCTGAGTATATAGCTCATAACCAATAACCAATCTCAGTCATATCAAATCAAATCCTGCACACGAATCGAGACCATCTAAAGTGGTCTGTACGACAAGACTAGGTGTAAAATAAATATGATCTAGTGCTACGATCACGTGAAGGCTGTGCGAATGATCGCGGGTTACCTACGAGTCAGAACCACCTAAAGTGGTATGTACGACAAGCATGTGCACCTAACTTGGATCTAAGGTGAGCATATGGTGCGAGAGGTGGACATCACGTGAATGACTGTGCCCTAACTCTAGGCGGGAGCACTAACACCGGGGTGCAGGCTTATGAGCTATCAATACATCACATCATATCTCACATAACTAAAGTAACCTCATATCTTTAATTTATGAACTTACCTGGCACTTACCTGTGCATCCGCAGCACCAATCATAAATATAAGCAACTACTAATGCATAAATAAAATAGGCAAATACTTTGCATGACATTTCAAAACGTATAATCATTCAAATTCATTTTCTGGGAAAAATCTCAAGTATATAGGTATATACGGAAAACCAAAAGCCCACTCAATGATATGTCGAAGGGTCGTAACCCTCGAGCCTCGATTGATGACGCTCGTCCTCAGGATAGGTCTTACCTATATGCGAAATAACTAAATAAACGTTATTTAAAGCACATACACAAAACTAGGAAATAACTTCTCAAATAATGCTTAAATGGGGTATTTGAATATACCATTGAGACCTACTCAACCTCAGGAATATCCCCATATTTTTAGAAAAAAATTCTGACCTCCCACGCGTCGGCCAAGGCACGGCCAGACGCACCCCCACGCGCGGCCAAACCCTAACTGAAGCTTAACTGTCGTTAGGAATATTCTGTTAAAACCTTAATAGAAGTTAACTGCGTTACTTGACGCCATTAGAATATTCCGTCAGACTTGACGGAATATTCTTCTTCGTCTTCCTTGGATTACCGGAGATCGTCGTCGGCGCCGGTTTCTGGAAAAACAATTAAGCATTCATATCTTCTTCGATTCTCAACCAAAATTCTCAAAATTTATATCAATTTGAAACTTAGGATGAGAGGAACAAAACCTTACAACTTTAAAGCCCTAAAATCCACGGGATTTCGCCGGAGAATCCTCGATAATCCGGCCAAACTTGAAACTCACCAAACTCAACTTTCCGATGTCCAATTCACTTCGTTTTTCTTCTCCGAGCTTTGTGAAGATGTCCTAAAGCTCACTAGCAGCTTAAAATCTTCTAAAAACTTCAAAATCAAGAGTGCATGAATAGTGCACAAATCGGAGATTATGGTTTCTCGGGTTTTTGAGGTTTTCACGTCCAACCACCACCACCATTCGACTCCTGAGCTTGTAAGGAGTCCAAAAAACAGCAATCACAACCTCGATCCGTGAAGATTGAAAAAGGTTTGAGGGTTGTTCGTACAGGTTGTACGGAAATGGCAAGAATTCTGAGGGAGGGAGGAGAGAGAGAAGTCAATGGGAGTGGTGTGTGTGAGTGTGAGTGTGAGTGTGAGTGTGTGGTCCAATTTTGGGCTACTAACAACCACAAAACCATAATTTTAAGTTCTAAAAACTTAGGAACTAATTAGATTAGTCTAACACCCAAACTCAAACCACAACACCACACCATATACTCAACATCCAAGGGTATTCTAGTCAATTCACACCATCCAAAAATATATTTTGGGACGGACTGTCACAGTGGTAGTGGCGGAGGTAAAGGTTGTGGGGGTCAAGTTGAGACGATGGTGGTAATATCGGTTGTGCCGATGGTTAAACGGTATAGGTGGTCGTGGTTGTGGTGGCAAGGGTGACGGCGGTTGAGGCTATGGTAATGGCGAAGATGGTGTCAAATATGGTGGTGGTGGTGGTGGTGATGATGGTGAGACGATAGGGAATGTGGTGATGATCATTTTGGTGGCGTCATTATTGACGGTAGTGGTGACATACATGTTTATATTTCTTATTAAAACTCTAACTTTGTTTTATAATGTATGTTTTATTTTCAATTATTTTGAAAATTGTTTTTGAAAAAAAAAAGAGGAAACATCAAATGATGTTCTACAAAACTTAGGCTAAATATTGTTTTCTCATTTTTTCGTTTTCTGAGTATATTTTCATAAAACAATTTACTGAACACATTTTCACCCATTTTTGCATCTAAAAAAACGAAAAACAATTTTGCTATACGTTAACGAACAGACTCTAAGACTTTAGTTCCTTGTTACTAAATATAGGAAAGTCATAAATTAAAATAACTTTATTTCCTCTCATGTAACATTCCTTTTTTTTTCAATTCAGGAGGAGTAAGACTTGGAAGGAATGTAATTTCCTGCA